GGATTTCTAAGAATTCCTTGAATGGAGCCTGGATGTCGTCGGAGCTAAGGGAGAAAGTGCACGAGCTCATTTTCGGCATGCGAACGTTGAAGTTGAGGAGCAATGAAATTGATGTTATACTGTATATTCCGAAGTACAGCAAGCTTTTGACTAATATTGTACCGAGATTAACTCCAGAAAACTTTTCCATTCCAAGTGTTTTTAGGTAGGCCAAGAGACGAGTACGCCAACGTGGAATTAGTGGTGAAAGTGTAGACATTTTTTGTTTTCAGATTTTGGCGGGCAATACGGAATATTTTTTCGATGTTTTGCCTCCAGTGACTTCCATGCACTTCTATACGACCATCCATGGTTATGTGAAGCAGGAGTGCCGATGACATAACGTACCGAAGGCATAACGTAATCAACCACCGAGTGACGAATACCACCGAGTGACGAATTTCGTCGAGCGTACCGTTAAATTTCAAGCTTTTCAACCACAAATGTATTAAATCAGACCATATAAAAAGATAAAACAATAGCTATTTACTAGGACAATTTCTTATAGTATGACCAGTAGTCCCGCATCCACTACAGCGTCGTGGAGCTCGCTGGCGAGGCCTTGGCGTCGTCTCAGCGGCCGGCTCATTAAGCTGTGTATCAAGCTGTTGCACTCGATTCTGACCTTCCTGTACAAATAAAACAAGATCATCACCAAGATTACCACGCTTCCTTGCCCTCTTTTGCATTTTCCGCTTATTCTCACCTTGTAGAACCTTGATTTCTTGTCGAAGAATAAGGTTCATATTCATTGCCATCTGTGCAGCTTTTTCAAGATGTTGAATATGAGATACTGGACTACTAGAAAGCATTCGTTTTCGAAGGCTTCTCTGTAGACTGCGTACCTTGTGATCGAGTTGGCGAGGATTCTGAGGTGTTTGAAAAGCAGAGGAGACTGAGCCTTCAACTTCAACAAGAGGTGGTGTTGGTGTCCGAAGTTGAAAAGTTACCTTTTCAAGAACCCGATCTTGATCTAGCGGGTTAAGTCCTGCACCTGCAAAACCACTGCGTATATTCTCCCTAGTAAACACCTTTTCGCGAGCAGGTGGATAGAGAGACAAGAAATCCTCCTTGTCGATATGGTTGTTGCCGGCAACCATCATCTCTTCTACTAGTTTTCCATATGCGCGCTTTAGCGGACCAAAAACACCAACATCAAGTGGTTGTAAAAGATGAGAGGTATGAGGAGGCATGCAAAGACAGATAATAGCATTCTCTTCACAGAATGCGTCAAAATCTGCAGTTAGATGACTACTATGACCATCAAGAATAAGCAACCGCTTTGCACCAGTTGAATAGGTTTTAGAATGTGGTTCAAACATCTCTTTTAGCCAGCGGAGGCCAATTTCATCTGTTGTCCAGCCATTCTGACTTCTTGCGATAGCATAGCCCTTATTGAAGAGAGCAGGTTCTTGATACCAAGCAGCGTGTTGAGATCCTGCTTTCAAGATGATCCATGGGGGTATAGATATCCCCTTTGAGCTCACACATTCAATAATTGTGACCCATTCGCGATTCCCCTGAATAACCCTACGGGGCCTTTCACTGCGATCGACTGCAGTAATAACCTTAGAGGTTGAACAAAGTCCCATTGCGAAGCCAGTTTCATCAAAGTTCCAGATATCGTCCTCGTGGATACCATGTTCTTGAATAGCCTCGCGTACGGTCGCAAACCATTGTTTAATAATCTTTGGATCCTCTTGCTTTGCACGCTGGTACGTGATCCGCCGATTGTATCGTGTGCGCAGTGCTGGATGCCGTTTGATAAACTTATATGCCCAGTTGACACCAAGGGTCGTAGTAGGATCTCCTGTGCGCTCGCGAAGCAGGATCTGCGCCATTCCCCGTAGAAACTCTGGCCGAATTGAAAATCCTCGCTTATCTGCATCTAGCAGCCTCTTCGCAAGGACTTCTTCTTCAAGAGGGTTTAATTTATGACTGTTGGCGCGTGTTTCTGCGCGTGATTTCCTACCGTTGAGTCGACGGCGAAGCGTAGCTTCAGGCACACTAAATATCTCAGCAGCCTTTAATTTTGATTTGATTTTTTTATTTTTGAATGCAGAAATAGCCATCTGAATGCGATTTTCTTGAGATAGAGGCATTTTGTATAGTGGTGGTGAAAAATAACGCGTCAAGGAAATGATTGTAGGAGATGGACGCGAAATTCGTCACTCGGTGGTATTCGTCACTCGGTGGTTGATTACGTTAACTATTTAAATGTACCCATTCTTCAAGTTAGCGTCTTGGCAGTGGGGCCCTGAATGAAGAGAAGAGTGTAAACCGGTGAAGCTGGGTTTGCACTTCCCTGTACTTTATTCCACCAGGAGAGGAAAAACTTATCCGTATTCCAGAAGTTAGTCTCAGAATACAGTACTATGAGTACTTTCAGAAAAGGTTAGAGCTCATAACGAACTCCAGGAGCACTCTGAGAGCACTCTAGGAGCAGCCAAATTTGCTCCGAGTGGATATTGGCCAGTAGCGGATCAAAATTGAACCAGGACCTTAGTGCATGGAACATGCTTTTCCTAAAAGGTACTGGATCCAAAGTCAATCTCAGAGAGTTTTCGTCTTTCTCCGCCCGTGTTCAACATTGCCTTGTCATTCTTGGCTACGGAGACACTTATTTTAGGGGGTCGCTTCAGATATTGCCCTTTGGTTTGTTTCTGGTTCTTCATTGTATTTGAATGTTCATGTTCAAGCGGTTGACCACCAGTGGGTTGAACTGGGACCGACTGGTCAACTGTGGTGGATGTAAATAGATGTTGAAAGATATCCTTTGATGCCTGCTTAATCTACCCGAACGTTTTTGAGTCACGTTGAACTCTACGGACAATGGACGGACAGCAGCTGGCAGTTCAACTTGATAATGCCTGCCGTAGAGAAATATTTTTGGCCCCTGCAATGCATATACAGATATGAGCTAATTGAGAAAGCCTTTCGTTCACCACTAATTTTGAAAGAGGCCGTTCGATAGGATTTGTGCATGGAAAATGCCTTGGTCTGGTATTGCAATTTCACTTTAGCGTTGAAATACTCTCTTAATTCCCAGCTCAAAACTTAATTGGCAATTAATTGTTGAAAATGAACACTTGCTACTTGACCAAACATAATGTGCAGGACACAGGACTTGACAAGACAAATTAGACCAGTTGAACCAGTGGAAATCTGTGATTATTGTCAAACATGGACGGCCAATGCTAAATGCACTCTGTATGTTATAAAACGCCGAAATAATGAAAGACTGCTGGGTTATTATCCGACAGATTCTATCAAGTCTTGATCTCAATGGAAAGAAATCGACTACCTCACGCAGAGGCGCAACAGAGGCGAAGACGCAGAAAAAAATATTTAAAATGGCGGCGAAATACAGCATTGACTTCCAATCGGATATTTTCGTCATTCTACGAACCAAAAAAGACAGTCAAATATATTTATTTTATTCGACACAAACAGATAATCGGCCTCCCAGTCCAGCAGAATTTGGTACACTTTCTACTCAATGGTACGTGAAAATCACTAAAAACTTGATTGGCAGAGCTCTTGCATCCCTACGCGTAAAATCCAGACCCTGGACGATGTAGTGTCGAAGTATTAGCTACGTATTGCATCTCCCAGTCTATCTTCAAGATTGGTGTTGTCAGCGCTCCCTGTACTCTTTGAGCGTGGGCCCCAATATACACTCTAGTTATCTGAAATATTTCCGGCATAACGATGTTGTACACACACACACACACACAATTCATTAACGCCCGGCGGCTGAGCCGAAAGGGCAACTATCACTAATCTACCAGTACATGCATATTTGGGTATACGTCGTGTCTCCTTGGAGCCCATACAGTATTTCCTTCCGTATTTGTCATTTCCGCTTCCAATCTCAGAGCTGGTCCCTGTGGGTTAGTATTGGTCAGTAGACTTGCTTGAAGGCGCTTCTTCAAGTGTTCAACATCCTATCCTCGGCAGTTGAAGCGCGTCTACCGTCTGTCACAAGGTGTTGGGGGTTAGTAAGAAGAGGTATTCTATCAATTTGTCGGCAAGCCTAGGTGGCCTCGAGTCGGCCAGTAGCGATCGCAAATCGTATTGAGGCTCGCACTGCTTCCAATTTCGGCTTCCACCTTTGATCATCGGCGGGTGACTTCCCTCCCAAAAAGAAGGACATGTTGCTTCGGTGAGTGTGGGTACATTGCAGCATTTCTATCCGATGTGCGGTCCATTTCCGACATCGAAAGAGAAAGTGGTCCACAGTTTCTCTTGCTTGTCCACATGCGCATTGATCCGTCTCAGCGGCATTGATCCGAAAGAGATATCCATTGAGTCTTGCCATGCCCGTGCGGAGCTGGGCCAACACGCTCGCTTCTTTCCACGATAATTGGTCATACAGCTGTCGCGTGTGTTTCCCTGGAAGTGCTGTGTCCACTCGTCGGGAGTGTCTGCCTACGTTCTCGGGCAGCTCACTGCTGGGGGCAGCTTGAGACCGCGCAAGATTCAGAGTTGTCGACTTCATTCTACAGATACAGGATGGATCGAAATCAGTTTCACCAATATATACTCTCTAATCCTTTCTCGAACCCTAGCTCGAAACACGCTATTTTGTATCTGGCTTAGCTTTGTTTCGTAGATCGTATCGTGTCGAAAACTATTATCACGTGAGATTGGGTTTCATAAATAACGTGAAATACTAGTACCATTAATAGTTCTATCTTGTCGCCCTTCATAGCTTGCTCTGTGACCTCTTCCACCTCCTCACTCTTGGAAACGACGTTCGCCAAAGTTATGAGGTCAAGCTCTTTCGCTTAACAGGAATCTACACAACTTACAATGGCAAGATCGTTCTGAGAGCTTAGCGAATGATGGAGAATAAGGTATATTCAACTTCTTATTCTATCTGCGCATTCATCCTAGCTCGTCCGTTTCCCATTCAAAAATGTTCGAGAAGTATTCATAACTTGAATGGTTCAGCTCTACTATTTTACTGTATTATGCTTGGCTAAGCAAATTCTCGGCAAACTAATGGCTTCGGCATGGCGCCCTAAAGACTTCCAGGTGAAAGCGAGATTAGCCATGCTCGTCAACGTATCGAGATGGTCCAACATCGAGCTTCGTCTTGCAGGTCTCCATGACCAGCACCTCTAGCTGCTCCGCCTTTTCCCACCGGCCTAGCTTCCCGTACGTCGATACCAGGTTGGCCATACTCGTTAGCGTAGAGGGATGGTCTTCACCGAGCTTCGTTCTTGCGAGTCTCCAACACTTCCACGTCGAGCTGCTCGGCCTCTTCCCACCGGCCCTGGTTCCGGTATAGGATGAATCGAAATCAGTTTCACCACCTATACACACAGATTCTTTCTCGAACCCTCTTTCAGAACACGCTATACCTATTACGGTTACACCGCCCCTGATCCTCTTTTCTGGCAGTATTCAGGTACAATTGTGAATTACACACTATAACTAGCTTCCGTATTAGTCCTGTATGGTCTTTAGGGCTTCTGGCTTGCTGTGAATGTTGAATCTAAATGCTTTATACATCCGGCCGCTCCAGCCATTTGCGAGGCAGTCAATGATTTGCTCGATATCATATTATGTCAGGATAATGGCCCCCTAGGTAATTTATCCAGCTGCCGCATCCTACCGATAACTCATCTAAACTACCCATATGGCAACTGTGCCCCGAGCTGGATAGTTGGATAGATCACATTGAGCAGAGTTTTTCCGCTTCTCTGCCCCTATAAGTATGCACATGATAGCTAGACCTGAATACCATCGTTTTCAATCATTGTCACATGACGTAAATTTACTAGTGGATAATAGAAATTCAGACTCCGACATATTATAAACCATTCCAAACATTCAGAGAGGACTTCTTCGCGCCATGTCGAGAGATGGATAGGGAAATCTGGAAGTTGTTGGATGATACAGTGGATTTCACGGAGAAGCGATGGAAAACCACCGAGGATGAAGAGCGAAATCATCTGCTCTCCCTCGCTCTCTCATTTTCTCAATGATCAGTCCTTGCTTAAGTGATAGCTTGAACGGAAAATATCCTTGTCCAATGCAGTTGTTAGCAGTGCTATTCATCTTCTAGCTCCTGTCCGCATGTACATCTGTTCCGCCTCATCTAGCTTGCCTTGGTCACGATATAGATGTCCGAGATTGTTGGCCGTGGAGAGGGTTGATCTATGATCAAGCGCCTTCCTCCAAAAAAGGGCGCGGCCCGGTATCAAGCAGCAGTTTGATGACAGCTTCACGGCCGTTCCCTGCCGCCCAGCTGAGCGGCGTCCGTCCATGTTCGTCCTTGGCGTTGAGGTCGACCTCACCGGTATTTAGTAGCTGCCTGAGGACATCTTTATGGCCGTTCCCTGCCGCCCAGCTGAGCGGCGTCCGTCCATGTTCGTCCTTAGCGTTGAGGTCGACCTCACCGGTATTTAGTAGCTGCCTGAGGACATCTTCATGGCCGTTCCCTGCCGCCCAGCTGAGCGGCGTCCGTCCATGTTCGTCCTTAGCGTTGAGGTCGACCTCACCGGTATTTAGTAGCTGCCTGAGGACATCTTTATGGCCGTTCCCTGCCGCCCAGCTGAGCGGCGTCCGTCCATGTTCGTCCTTAGCGTTGAGGTCGACCTCACCGGTATTTAGTAGCTGCCTGAGGACATCTTTATGGCCGTTCCCTGCCGCCCAACTGAGCGGCGTCCGTCCATGTGCGTCCTTAGCGTTGAGGTCGACCTCACCGGTATTTAGTAGCTGCCTGAGGACATCTTCATGGCCGTTCCCTGCCGCCCAACTGAGCGGCGTCCGTCCATGTGCGTCCTTAGCGTTGAGGTCGACCTCACCGGTATTTAGTAGCTGCCTGAGGACATCTTCATGGCCGTTCCCTGCCGCCCAGCTGAGCGGCGTCCGTCCATGTTCGTCCTTAGCGTTGAGGTCGACCTCACCGGTATTTAGTAGCTGCCTGAGGACATCTTCATGGCCGTTTCTTGCCGCCCGCTGTAGGGCAGTCTGTCCATTATTGTCCATCGCATTCAAGTCGATCATGCCGGTCCCCGCGGTGTCCAACTTGTCTGAGTCAGCGGATACGATGCTAATCGATGGACCTCCTGAGCTGTCAGAATCAATTTGGGCTTCATCGGAAACTTCACTAGGGGAGTCAAGGATATCCTCGTTGCCAGATGACCTCGGTAGAGCAAAACATGCTATTCGTCGTAGATGATAGGCAACATGAACGACCGATACATTCTGAGCAAGGCAGATAAGACACTCCCGAAGTATATTATTTAAGGGGGCCTCTCTTGTAGTGCTCTTTGGCAAATGGCAGATGGTTTCGTGCGCGATCCAGTCGTGAAGGCTATCGTACTGTTGATCGGGGTCTCGACAGTCCGCATAGGTGCAAATATAAGGCCGCAGATCCCGAAAGACGTGTGTTCAAGAATGCAAGTCAGTTGGTAATACTGTCTTATCGGGGTAAATACTCACTCCCATGCTTTCGTTGCCATTGTTTTCCGCGGGCATATAATGCAGCAGAAAGAACATTCGAATTCTTTGGCAGACAAATCTACCGCTGGCGGAGGCGGGATCCCTGCTTGATCACCATTTAGCTCATTGGATATAGAGGTAAAGGTACTTGACGAGGATATCGCAGAGGCATTATCATCTAGGTTGATCGCGTCTGAGTTAAGCCATGTTGCTGTCGAGGGCTTTGAGGATTCGGGAGCTGGTTGTACCATTTGCATATTTGTTACTAGCTTTAGTGGTCTTCCAATTATGTTGGTTCCTTTTGTCTGATGGGGGCGTTCTGACGACTCATACTTTGCCCTGCGCTTCTGCCAATATCGAAATTGTTGCCTCCGTCGGGTGTTGGCTTTTCCTAGGCGTTCGATCAAGTAATGAAATCGATCGAGATCAGTATGACCAAAAGAGCGAAAGATTTCCTGTACATGACGAATATCAAGTATTGCGAACTCTTTAATGAGGTCTCGCCCAGTTTCTAGATCCGTCTCGGAGTAGCTTGCTGCTTTTGAAAGTCCGAATCTCATGGCAGGATTTCGAATCTTGAAAGCGAGTCGATACAGCTTGTCAACCGTCGAAACTATATTGTGGAAGACAGCTTCTGTGGGGGCTTCCTTTTGGTATGACGAAAGATCCTCTTCGTCAGAATCTTCCTTGCTAAAGAGAACTCTACCATCGCTGTTAATATGAGGATGAGTATCATCCTTTGAGATTTCGATATCTCCATGATAATCAGTGAGGGAATCTTTGACTGCGGAGAGATACCAAATGTCAGACACGCCAACGAAGTAGGACTAGACTACATACGCTGCCGCAGCGCCCTTTCTAGATCATAAAGCAGGTCAAGAGCGTAATTGAAAACGAGATCTGAGTCACGTAGGCGATAGTCGAGGGAACTTTGCCCACTGTGATGAAGTCCCAGGTTGGTGGCCCATAGCTCGAATCGCTGCAGCTCATTCAAGACGGCTGCATTGCGCTTAATTTCATCCCTAACCAATTGCTCAATGGAAAGAAAATCATCGCTGATCCTCCATCCGACATTGTACAGGGTATCTGGGGTTGGATATGTCATCCTTCATTCGACGTTATTGCAAAATTGTGGTGAGATTCACTTCCACGAGAGTCGGTCCCCAAAGCGGGGTAAGCGTGGTAGCAAGTGGTGGGGCTGAATTGTTGAAATACCTGGAAACTGATTCAGGCACATCTTACTTAGTTGTGTTTGCGTCTACTAATCTAAGTATGTGATTATCTGTGAGCTAGGTCTTGAATGCTCAAATTGCTGGGGTTTCAAAGATCCTGCGTTGAAATTATTGAGGGGTCCTGCTGAAAGCGACCCTTCTGTATCAAAAAGAAAAAGTATAGTATTTCTAGAAGTTGATCGTACATACAAATCGCTCAAGAAAGCGGGAAAAGCGGTGTTAGAAGGGAGTGTACGTAGAAGCAATGTTAGACCATTGTACCCCAAAGCCTCGAGAAACACAAAATACCCCTCTGACGTTTTGAGATCTAGCGGTATTTTTGTCGATTAGGCGCCGACCCCTCCTAAGCCGCCAACTCGGCTTCCTCGTAATTTTTCGCTTGATCTTCACCCAGAATGAGCGGTTTGGAAGTGGTCGGCGTCGTCCTAGGCGCTCTACCGTTGATTATCACGGCAGTCGATCAATACCGGGCCAGCAAGCGGTTGTTCAAAGTGTTCCGGCACAAAGAGCCATACATCGATCGACTAATTCAGACCCTGAGGGCGCAGAAGTTTCTTCTTGAGACTGACCTGTCAATGACCTTGAAAGAAACCTTTGGCGATCCAGACTTTGTACAGTCAACCTCCAACTTTGCACAAACAACCTCACTCCTTTTCGAAAATCAGGAAGTCGCAAGGCGGGTTCAAGAAAACCTAGGTGACGGATACGAGCACTACATTGTGGCGTTATCACAATGCGAGCAAGCATTGGCCGAGATCGCTGGACATATTAGCGGTTTAGCATCAGGTGAACAGGTATGACCAATGGAGAATTCATATCGACAGGGTCCCTGACCGCCAACGTAGGATCTTTCTGCGCTCGTTCAAGCCTATCCGCAGAGGAATGGGTCCTATGAATTTACAAGGAAAATAAAGTTCGCTCTGGACAGAGGTGAATTAGAGAGAAGAATCAAAGATCTGAACGATGCCACTATGATGCTATCTCGGATTCGCGACTACAGTCTCTCACGAACAAGAGCTACTATTCCATCTAGGTCTTCAGCAGTAACAAGGACCACAACTTCCTTCAAATCTATTCGAGAGCATGCCTGTCGTCTGTACTCGGCAATTTCCGCTACCTACCGGGGAAGCTGTCACCCGCAGCATGGAGCACATCTATTCCTCCAAAGTAGGGCCGACTTGCTAGACGGTAAACATCGGAGACTCAAAAAGACGCCCGTGGCTTTTACAATATCTTTTGATCCAGTTGGCCGTGCCGATATCCACTGCTCATCCTCTATCACAGAAGTGATGGTCTTGGAAGAAGACACGTTGACTTCTTATTCCAAGTAAGTTTGCCTGAGTCAATATACAATAGCCATACAAGAGTATTATTTGACTAGAGCACCGACACTAGCAACTCGGCCATCTATTCTGGCCCTAGTACCTCGCATGAACCCTCAATTGAAGCATCTCACGTATCTTATCAGCTTCCCACCCGGACAGAGACTAACAGTAGCTCAACAATTACCACATTTCCCTCTACTTCTAGACATCCAAGTTCGACGCTAAGCATCATCCGAGATCTTTGTCTGCATCTTTCCAGAATGACGGAACTTCGAGGCCTGCAGTTGTCCCGGGATTGCCATCTCTGGTACCATCAAAGCACCAGGACTATAATATCATCAGAACCGTGTACAGCGACCAGTGTCGTCTACTCACTCGACCAAGTCCTCCAACCCAGCTCCACCATGAAGCTGCTCCTCAACTCGCGAATTGCTTTGTCGTTCAACATCGCGTCTTCAGTAATGCAGTTGAATCTCACGCAATGGATTCACACTCCTCTTACCAGCAATATGATCCGCCTTTTACCCGAAAGCCCAGACAGACGAGGACCGGCGATTCGGCCATTCATAAGCCACAGGTTTTCTTCTTCCTTTGAGGTAATGTGCGCCTCCAACTTTCGGCGAATAATGCTTGAGCTCGGCATCATTCTGCTCGAGCTATGGCACGCAAAGACATTTGCCGTATACGCTGCGGAAGTCGAAAAGCCGCTCGATGACTCTTTTGGAGTTCGATACGACGTTGCGCGCTTATGGCTGGATACCAGTAGAGACGATGTGCTCCCGTTTTACTTGGACGTGGTGACCAGATGCGTCGAGTGCATTTTTGCCACTGCTACAGCAAATCTGGATTGGAATGATACAACATTACGGGAATCGTTCTACGGCTATGTCGTAAAGCCTCTGTGGGATAACTGCCCAGCAGAGCTTCGATGAAGGGGGGCTCAATGAATGCATGATAAGCATTGGATTTCTTGCGAATACTTTTGATCGTCCGTTGGCTGCATTCAGTTGGGTCAGCCATTTGAGACCTTGTGACAAGTGTTGTATCATATCATCAAATGTAGCTTTGGGCTGGACAGTCTCGGTTCAACTCTTTTTTTGCAAATGAGTCTAACAAATCTCGAGATTACGGTTCTAAAGTGGTAAATGGCAGAGCATGTATTGCGCAAGCAAGGTCGCGTATGGGACCAAAGGGACACGAAGCAAGCATTGCTGACTGTGTAGGCATTTCGGGTAAGTTTAGAGCCAGTCAACATGTGATACCTGATTACAATACCATACAATATTTTGAAACACACTAAATGGAATGAAGACTAGCGTGTTTCAAAGGAGGGTTCGGGAAAGAATTTATGAGAGCAAAGTGGTGAAACCGATTTCGATCCTTCCTGTATCCCATTACGGTATTAGTCAACCCACAGGTCAATGTAGGAGAGTCACGTATAGTGGATAAATCTCATATTACCGTGAAGTAAATACAAAAAGTATCAAAGAAAAAAGATAGACTTTCATACAGCTGATATCATATGAAGTAGTCCATAAGTGAAAGGCGATTCTGTATCGCGACACTTATACATTTCCTCGGAGAAGACCATCAAAAAGGTTATCAACGTCGTATAACTCGTGTTGCTGGCCCTGGACATTCGTAGATGCGGCAGGAAATGTATTTTGTGCAACAAACTCCCAATTGGGCACAGCCTGCCGGGTCGCCGAGGTCTGAGAAGGGTGCATGGACATATCATTGGCGGTTGAAGTGCAAACCCGTCCCGGGTCAACGATTAACCCATTCTGCTGCTTCATTGTGCCCACTATGTTTTGGGGGAGGCCTAGCGCAGGATGGGACGTGGGCTGTTGGTGGTTAGGAAGAAGATTTGCCAGATTTGGGTCTTGATGTTGGTTCATTTGCCACGACACGCCCAGGTCCGAAGCAGGCTGTGGCGGTGACTGTCTCTGGTCTCTGACCGCCGGTCGCTGATCGATAGTCGAGTGTTGCGTTGCATCTGGCCGATTCTGTAGCTCCGTGTCTCCTGCATGGAAACGGACATTGAGTTGAGCTGGGGCTTGGTCATTCCCTTGTGCGATTTCAGAACACCCAAATACCTCCTGCGATTGTACACCGAGAGCCTTCAGCTTGGCCTCCAAGCTAGGTGCACCATTTGCCAGGCCTTGAATCTCCTCGAACTTTCTTAGGAACATGACAATCACTTCCCTGTATTTCCTTAGTGTTGCTACACATGGCTCATGGCTTCTTCGCAGTGTTTTCTTTTGAAACAAACACCATTAGCTGCGGTTTCATATTATAGACCTGTTTTGCCTTACCACATTTTCCATGCCTCCATACAGAGTACACAGTTCGCCCATGAACGCGACCCATTTAGGGGTTGCTGTGCCTGTCTGTGGCGGTATATGGGCCTCTTTAACCATATTATCACTCCCCGGTTGAACCAAAAGCTCCCGTAGTATTTCGCAACTTGGATACAATAATCAAATAATAGTCGTCTATGGCACCTAGACGTGTAGCACTTCCCCTTTTTTGATAGAGCGCATATAGCATTACTAGTGATTTGGGTGTTTTTCGCATTTCTCTATAAGAGTTCTATCAATCGTCATATTTGTAAGCCTAATCCAAATGTCCAAATAATTAGACGAAACACCCTCCCGAAAATGGCCCCGTAGTGTTCACCAGGATGAACGGTGAGGCGGCCACGTCTTAGCAGACCTCTAGTAACTAACAAGGTATCTGACTACTAATGCATTAGAGAGGGGATGAGATGTGACGTGTCAAAGAGGGGAGCCGCTCAGGCTAGGCCAGGACAAAATTGGCAGAAACACATGAGTATAGGAAAAGTAGCGTATTAGTCTTATCATATAGTTTACAGATTCTAAGTGACACGCATAGGAGATCTGAAAGCTAGCTGAATCGGGACTAGGTAGTTTCACCTTGGTGTTAGGGGTTGAGATACTTTCTCTGTGTAAAACACGGAAGCCAATTTCGAATTTAGCTATACTGTACCACTACATTATTGTTGAGCTCGCTTCACGTTTACTATGATAGATTAGAAAATAAATAGGGCCTACAGGACTTTGTTGCAGACTGTTACCAATCGTGTCCGCTAGGAGGCGCAGCACTCCGCAAGGTAATCTTTCCGACTATCCCAAAACAACAGCAGGGCCTTTTACATTATAAGGGATATCTAAATAAGCAACAGCCAATAGGTCTATCTCCAATTTTTGAAAAGATCAAAATATTATGTATATGTGTAACTAAATTCTCAGAATGTTTTACTAGTAGAATTGTATTCCAAACATAATAAAATCAAGGCAAGTATACCAGTCTACTTATTCAAATAACCTTTACGTACCTTATTAATTGTAAAAAATCATAATTACAGCTATTTCATCCTATTATAGCTTTGTGTTGACAATCTTTATCTCTTCAACATGCGATGCTTTCCCATCATTTAGACGGTCAGCGTTGCGGCATCCGCTGTATTAGCAACCTCTCAATTACCATCGCGTAAGCAACGCATGCAGATAGTTATCTACTAGGGCCAGAATGGAGGGAATGTTGTTGAAAACAACGATCTGGCTAGTTATTGTACCCCAGAATCAGGAATAGATATCATTCTGCTTGCATTTCTAAACGCGTATGGAAATGGACAAACTAAGCCATGGGGCACCTTTGGGCAGTCATGCTACATATCTTCGTCTGGCTAACCTCAAAATTGTGAGCATTTAGCTGCAGCTATCAATATATGCAGGACAAACGGCGTAAAGATTATTTTGTCTTTGGGGGGTGCCTCTGGAGGGTACTCGCTCTCCTCGCGGGAAGAGGCCGAGGCAATTGGCTAATATCTATAGGAAGCATACGGCAATACGAGTAGAAGAGGAGTTCCCCGTCCTTTTGGAAATACCTTCGTTGATAGGTGGGACTTTGATATTGAAGCTTCATCCGGCAGTCAATACTACCAATACTTGATTAACAAACTGCGCTAGAATTTTGCGTCTGATCCAAACAATACCTATTATATCACCGGTGCACCATAATGCCCTATTCCTGAACTTAATATGCAAATGATGATAACAAATTCGAAGTTCGACTACCTCTGGGTGCAGTTTTACAACAACCCAGAATGCTCCGTTGACGGAACGATAAATTACGACAGTTAGGTGAGCAATATTGCCAATACTTCCTCTGCGAAAGCTAGAATCTTTATAGGATTACCTGCCTCGCCTTTGGCCGCTACTGGTACGTCCAGCGGTATACAATACTACGTTAATCCTAGCGAGCTTGCTACACTCGTCACAAAATATATTGACTATCCGGCTTTTGGGGGAGTGATGATATGGTCCGCTGCCTTTTCTGACGCCAACAATCAGAAAGGTGAAACATATGTTCAGCAAGTCAAGAAAATTTTGAATCGTGCATTACATATGTCCTGTTAAGCTGATGTTAAGCCAAAGGCGAACAAAGGGATGTACTCAATCAAAGTGTTTCACTAATGTGTTTAGGTAGTATTTAGTATATGAATTGCCATGATTGAAGGAGTATGACAGTACGCTATAGGCGTTAGTTTCAACCCGCTCAAACCGCTGTATCTCCAAGTAGAAGCTAAGTTACTGCTATATTCGAAAACAGATTCCCCTGTATACACACGCAGATTGTCTTCCGAACCCTTTATTGAAACATGCTAGTCTAAATTTAGTTAGTACCCCCAAAAAGCCGTGCTAAATTGTATCGTCTTGCATAAACCGTAATAAATGAGTCATCGTTATAATACAATAGACCTGTAAGGAACCTCGTGGAATGTTCTCTGCAAATAGTTCAGACAGAGTAGGACGCCTGGCGATCTGTTGAGATTGCTGTCTACCTCCCCTCCTTCACCACGCACGCAGCCTTCGTCCACACTCGTTTTTTACTCACTAGAAGGCCATGCCAGTGTTTAGAATAGTTCTAATTTTGGTAGGAGATCGCGCGTCTTCATTTCCATACAGTAGATTATCTTCCCGTTTGCGATAATCATTGATTACTAGTGTCTGTTAAAAGCTAGTATCCCCGCGTAAGCTGACATGAGCCTCTCAAGGGTTGAGACTAGATCTAGAGATGATTCAAGAGCCCGTATCATGTCGATTACCCCTCTCAGTCCGAAGAGTTCGATCCATAGGAATAGAACTCCCAGTAAGCGCCAGCCGCTGATTCTGTAGTAGCCACTACGACACGCGATCCATTTGCAGTCCATCCCCTTCCTATGTGGTTGAGAATGGCAGAGACCATAAGCAAATCTCAAAAAAAAAGCTCTCAAGCTCCAACTCCAATATCAACGGTTCTGGAGAATATAATGATCGGAAACAGAAGCTGGCAGCACTTCGGCTTCTGCAACCAAACATTGATTATTTCCTATTAGTACACTTTACACCATCTTATCTTCTTGATGGGTCTAAATTCAAAATATTTAGAACCACGGCGGTTCGGTCTTGATAGTTATTCTCGAGGCCTAACGTAATAGAGTTCTGCCTCTCAGCTAGCGGAGATGCGAAAGCGCTGGCCGCATTTGCAAGAAGGATCATAATAAGCCTCATTTTGGTCTAATAAGATAATACATATCATCATCATGAGTATATATCATTAAGATATGTGTTCATTGATACCGCTATCGTACAAATAATTGAACTCCGATATAGAAGGATTAGCGAAATCTTGCACATTACCTAGCTATCTCGGTATCAGCACTCCATGTTCTAAATTTTGTGTAACTAGAACAGGTTGTCCGAGTAGGGAGATCTCTGACCAAGATTTCTATGTATCTTCATACCCTTTTGAGTACCCGATCTTATAACCATTCTCATACCCCGTTTTCTGAGAGGCAATAACGGACGACATGAATGCCATCATACCAAAGGAGCACAGCAATATCGCAGAGGCAAAAAGTCCAGCCTCCGTATCACAGGCCCGCTTTAGTTTAAATAATATTGGCCTGACATAGGCAGGGTACATATTCCAGTGGTTGGGACCGAGGAGGAGAGCATCAGAAGCTGAAAGGAAAAGGTCCCAGAAAACTATAAGAAGATTTTTGTCGAGTGTTGCTTGAGCTGCGTTGCATATGATGAAGGTACCCGCCCAGGGTGACATATGAAACATATAATCCGGGACCCAGAAAAGTATCGCAATCAGCAGACGAAGAGGCAAAAGCCCACGGCGCAAGATAATTTAAAGTTGTTAGTGCCTGATGTAACGTCCCACTAAGTGTTGCAAAATAACTTCGATTCGGGGTCCGAGGACAATAAGAAGTAGTATGTGGATTCCGACTGCCCTAACACGATCCGTAATTATATCCAAGGTCCCTGTAAACACCCTTGTGGATCCTGCATCACTGTTTTTGCTTTGCTCTCCGAACAATAAGTAGGTAACGGCTCCAAGGCGAGGAGACATAGAATAAAGAGCGCGTCAAAGGACATGCGGGGGAGGCGGCGCATCATTTGCTAGTACTTTAATACATTCTGCTGAAAGTGTATGGCCGCTGTCCTGTGGAACCAGCCATCAGCAACTGGTTTACACCAGAGTCAACGTTGATATATACGTACATTCGAACCTTGACACTAATCCCGATAGGTGGTCACACCTGACTATCGAAGGTAACCGAGAAGCTTCTCAAGATAAGCTAAAACCTTTTCAAGTTGCGATTTGGTCGCAGGATCAGGAGCAAACCACGTCTTCCAAGTAGGCGGGATAACCACATAAGCTCCAATTATAGCGAGTATAGCGCAAATGGCGGATAAAGCCTTGTTGTCACCTATTTTATCCTAGAAACTTTTTGTATTAGTGCTAGGCGCGGTGCTATGACTTTCATCTCTATGCTCCTGCATAGCTACAGGTTGGTCTTGTTCGAAATGTTGGCCACGACTTTCCTATTGAGAAACGGATGGACGAGCTAGCTAGGCCCTCGTAGGCGATCCTGTCGTGTTTTGGCCGATGGTGCTTCTCGTTATATCTATAATGTCCTGTTCGTCCGTGGCCCCCTCAGTACCTGTATGAACAGGGCGGGGGTGGGTATTCGATTTTGCGTGTCTTATTTGAGCAGATCCCCCAATACTTCGCAAGGGAACTCCGGTCTAGGTATTCCGACTTCGAGGCATGATGGCCATCCGACTATTGTCGACTCCAAGACTCCAGATCTATTATTTGAATAGGCCCTATG